CCCATCATTTTCCACAGGAAGCCAGGATCTAACAGGAGCAGATAACGGTGAAGTATGAAGCCAGCGGGATGCTGTTGTATACGTGTGAAAAAAATACCCCAGCTACAAACTCCAACTATTTGCTTTAAGTCAAAGTCCAAGCCAGTCTTGTCTTCAGAGTTGCTCCTGGTGTGTTTCTGGCTTTTTTTTTTTTTTTTTTTTTAAATTTTGCAAAACCAGTACTTTGGCACAGTATCCATTTGATAGCTTCCCATCTGCTTGCCCCATTTATATTCCCCGAATTCGCTAACCAAACCACGTTTTTATTGCTAGCCACACTGCGGCGCTTACATAGCTGTGGGGAAAAAAATGGGCTGCACTCTACTCCTCCTCCTGTTTCAGCAACCAGAGCGGCTTTGCTGCTGGGGTGGGCAGAGCCCGGCAGACGGCAGGGTCGGCCTTTGGACGTGCTGCAGAATATGGAGGCAAAAATATTCGTTTTGGCCAGAGTCAAAACAAGCTTAGAGATTACCAAAGGAAAATATGTATTCACTGCAGATATCTTAGAGTTCCTATTCGAGATCGCACCTATCCTCAAATCTTGTGGTAACTTAATCCGCAAACTACAATAAATTACATTTCGTGGAAGCCAACTTTTGGGGATGGCAAGCAAGCCAAGACATATAAATAAAGAGAAGAGCAGCAGCAGGAAACAAAGAAAAATGCCTGATATTAGAGTTAAGCCCCTCTAACGGCTCTCTAGCAATCCCCTTCCCCAGCCATAATCTTTCCCTGCTTCCACAGCCCCCGAAGTACTTCTCTGTCCCTGCAATGAGCCAGGCTGTGACTTTCAGGGCTGTTAGACAGGCTTTGTGCACCATTCCCCAACTCAATGACGTACCAAATATCATAACTGATCCACAAGCGATTTGAGCAGGCAATGTTTCTGCAAATGAAGCAGTGCAACTCCTCCTTCACTTCAAAACACAGCAGAAACGGAGGGAGTTGTTGGCGCACTGCTCAATGCATAAAAGCTATTTAGATTTTTTGCAACATAAAAATCAGTGAAAACCCCTAGAACATCGCAAAGCTAGGCTTCTTGCCAGGGGTCTAGCCTCTTCCCAGCTTTATACTCATTTCCCTAACTCAGGAGCATGGGGTTGGCACAGCCCTCCTTCACAGGAAAATACTAAGACTTAGGAACATATTTAGAAAATTTTCCATATACAAGCAAGACAAAACAAACCAAAAAAGAACAAAACATATCACAGCATCAGATTCACAGAGTACTGTTCCCACAGGCTTGTTCAAGCCAGAGTTCAAAATTAGGGAACTAATCAGGGCCGCAGGATGGTTTATAATCTGCAGCAGGCTGCTTACACTGTCAAACTGTTCAGTGTTTTCCAACCCGACTTTCTGTAAAGCCCAAAAGTTTTAGATACAGACGTTTCTTTATGCTTCCTTAACATACAGGGAACAATAACCTTTCAGAGATTACAAAGGGGCACAACTTTAGCCAGAACTTGTTCAATGACATGCCCAAGGCCTGATGAAAACATTGTCTTGTTCCCTTTTCCACTCTTTCATCTATGCCTCCCTTTTGCCGCCTGACTACTCACCCTCTTCCAAAACAGGAACAATTAAAATCAAGTCAGCTTTAACTCACTTAAAGCATGATTTTTCAAAAGCTTTGAATCAAACATTGAATCTTGAGGTTCAACTCTTCTGCAGTAAAATAGCCATTGCCTAGTTACTCACCAAGGCCTGAGCTATTATGGATTCATTCAGAAGTTTTTTTGTAAACTGTTGCCCAGTTCGGGGGATGGTTTTTTGCCTTCTCCAATGCTCTTTCGGTTCAGAAAAGCACAATGGACACAGAATAAGATGCTGACCTAAAATTCACATGCAGTGCAGTAACGCATAGACTTCTGTTGAAAAGAGACAAGTCCCGTTTTGCGCGTGTGGTTCCTGTTCCGTTTCGTTTTTAACCAGAGGTGACACATGTATAGCAAGCAGCAAACATTACCAAGAATAGCAATGGATGTCCTCACAAAAACATGATGGTAAAGCAAAAGTGGTAAAACCCAAGGTGCACACCTATTACGCAGCATATAGACAAGAGGAGAAAGAGGGATTAATCAATATAGATATATTCAAGGAAAATTTTTGTCAACATTTTCCTGTATCAAAAAGAAATCAGTTATACTTGCAAGTCACTTGCAGAAAATTTTAATAATTTGCCAAATATACAGCTATTAGAATTACTCTAAATATCACTTATAATTAAATTACAAAAGTTGGTAGATAGCATAGTACATCGTTCTATAAAACAAACATGTCATATATTAACAATACCCTCTGCAGTCCAATAATGGCAAAAAACCACACACAAATGAAGTTACAGTCAAAAACATACAAATTAAAGGAGATTGAGTGATGGCTTTAGACACTTGAACCAAAGAAACTGAGGCCAGACTAGATACGTTCATCCATCAAGCATAATAAATGCAGAAATTTAGATTTTTAAAACAATTAACAACACAGCATTAGGTGCAATTTCACATGCTTTATTTTCCAGTACAGTTCCCAGAGTATTAAAGTGCCTTTGTGCACTCTAGTTTCATTTATAGTCGGGTGCAATACACATTTGGAGGTTACGTCATATATCACAAGGTTTGTTTGTTTTTTTAAAAATAACTATTTGAACCAAGGTGCACAGTTCAAGCTAAGGTGTTTTGAAAGTACTTTTGTCCCCATTCACCACTGCTCTGCAGAAGCATCTTCTGCTAAATATCATAAAGCAAACAAAAGTCAAACTCCAAATACCTGGGGCCCATCTCCACTAGACAAAGTTACAGTAAAAGTATTTCTTGAAATATGTTTTCCACTATATAATCCTTAACTTCTTCCCTCCCCTTCCAACACTGCTGTAATTGTCACCGTTGCCCTTGGGATGTCAACGTTCTGCGCAGCTTTGCCTTACAGATTGCCGTGAACAACGGCAAATGCACAGGATTTGGCCTGAGGATATGTGGCGGAGCATACTTTGAAAGTAACGCCTGACAACAGTCTGTTGTTAACTCGATGAATACGCAACAGCATTAGCCTGACTGTGAGATATCTGAAAACTTAAGGCCTGTGGATATTATCTGCAGTAACTACTTGCGCTGCAGAAATGTCCTACTCGGGGCTCCTTATGAACTTGCACCGTTTCCTGCCGTGCCACCTTCTTAAACCTAAACTTCAGTGTTAATCGCGCAAAGAGAAGGAAAACTACATGCTGAGTGTGGCTGTCGCTCACCTTGCCTCCCAAAAGTTCTCTTTAAAACATGCCTAACCAAGCTTCATAAAACCTAAGATCTAAATCTCCAGTCAAAATAGGTTCAATACTGGAATGTGACTCCAGCTTTTTCATGGTAAAGGGTACAAAAAGGGGATTTGCATCTCCCATGTTATTTGAGGCATTCTGACCATGTTTTTCACTACCTGCGCTTTAAGAGCGGTCACGGGACATGAAGTTCTTGAAAAAACATCAAAACTCCATTTCAAAAATCATTCCATGACGATGCCTTAGCTGCTACTCGTGGGAGGTCACCCCTGGTACCAAAGCAAGGGCTGAAGAAGGCACTCAGGGAAGGGAGCTTACTTAAAAGAAAGAGCGAACAACTAAGCAAATCATTACTTCAAACAACAGATGTGGATGGACTCTCTTCTCTGTCTTCCTACACTCTATAATACTTCACATCATGAAGTGAAAAAACAATTACAAGGATCTGAAAGTTTTACCTGTAAACATCGCTTGCTCATATATCAGCGTGGGCCATTTCTTTGCCACTGCTGCTGTTGCACAGGAACAGGCCAATTTTACATACTGCGATCCAGACTCAAACCAGCAGGAGCTCTCTGCAGGTAAGGAATTGTTTAGCGGAGCTTAAGATGTATCATACACTAACATTACTTAAAAAAAAAAAAAGTGCATTAAGCATGTCAGTAACGTATGCACTCTTAATCAAAAAATACGGGAAATACTGATTGCCTGATCTAGCGAGTACTTAAAAATTCTACATTAAACTAGAGCGTTACAAAAAGCACAGTCCTACTACGCATAGCGGCAGCAAAAAATTAGAAAACAGTACAAGTTTCATGTGAATCACAAACACAGATAAAGTTTCAGTTTTAGTTCATAAAATATTTGCATAAAATATTTTAAACATTTCAGAACAGTATAGTAACTTCCAATGTGATTTAGGCAACAGGTTCCACCAATATCCAAAAATACCGTATATGTAAGTACTTCTTATAAAACTTTATACAATTCAAACTGTCATTAGGCAAGCCCCTATAGACAATTTGCACACCTGCCTAGTTAGAAAGTCTTCAGCGTAACTAACTATATTCTCAGAGAATAACGTTAAAAAAAACAATGCTTCCATGAATCTTCCCTTTTGACAACTGATTCTACCAAATCAAATTCTTATTGCTCAAAATTGGGACGGATGGGCTTCATCAACACAGCCATCGGGTGTTACTCCAGCCTGGAAAAGGGACCTGTTTTACAGTTTTATTGGGCAGAAATACCTATATAGGCCTTGCTACCATTTGCGGGAAGATTTCCCAGTCCCTGTTGCCTGCCCTGGGTGTTTTCAACAAAAACACCCAGTACCCGGCGGGGGGAGAAGGTAACTAATGGCAGATAAGGAAAAATAAGTGATACTACACAAGCTTAGTGACCAGTATCTGCCTTTTCATTTTCTACTGAATTCTGTCATCTGGCCAATGATTGCTGTGAATACATCTCGAGCTAAAACTGAAAACCTCATGTTTTCAAATACAAGACACTAAAGAGATGCGCAAGAACAGCGTGAATACCTTTGCAGGCTTCAATACAGTCGGTACTATGCCAAAAAACCTGCACAACAAGCTTTCGTTACACAACTTCCAATCGAAAATAGTTCTCTCTCTCAAGCTACATTTTTAATTAACAAAAATAGATCCATAATAACTACAGGTAAAAAAACTGATAAAATTATTTTATTTTTTATTCAAAATATTCTGACAATTTAACAATATTCCAGGTGCATTACAAACACTGCCATAGTCAACACGACAATCAATACTTAAAGAGCATTCAAACACTGAAGACATTTATATCTTAAAGCAGAGACAGGAGAATGCGCTTATATTAAGAGAATACAGATCATTTTCCAATAACTGACTTCTTTGAGGCAGATACCTAATTTCCCCGGCACAAAATGGATTCAAATCCAGAAGAGATGAATTACAGAGGACAAAAATTCAAATGCATAAATGTTTTCCTCCGTATTTTCTACGGAGGACTGTGAATTTATAATTATGTCTTTACCAGCCTAGACTATTCTAGTGTTGACTACTTACAGGATAGAGCAACAAAACCAGAAAAAACAGGGTTAAAGCAAACAAAGAACACAAGCTTTTCCCACAATATGGCTTAAATTAGTTCACAGACAGCTGGGAATATAGTGGGTAGTAACTGTACGGTTGCAACAGAAATACCAGGTGGAAAAAAGTTGTCACCTTCCTGGTATTTTCCCCTTCACCATAACTTGCGTAAGATTTTCAGCAAAAAGATAGTGCCCCTACTGCGAGCATCCATTTCCATGCTTCAAAAGTATTATTTTGCAAACAGATTGTTTTGATTCTTGAACGTATTATCCAATATTAGCTCTGAAGTTTAAACAATGTAGTTGTATACATAATACTGTTTTTCCCAATTCACCTAGGATCTCAAATGGAACTGAACTTTGTCAGCTTTATTTAAAACATGTTTGCTTCTCTTTCCGATACAGAAAACACGTCGAGAACTTGCAAGGACATACGCAAATGAGTGCATAGTGCAGAACATCATACACAGCAGCGAGGCCACAATGTCACATTAAGTCCACATTTAAAAGATGTACGTTTCCGATGACTAAAATCCATTCCAGAGTTTTTCATTTGTAATTTTTTTAAAACTTGAGGCTTGCATAAAACAAAAGCATTGAAGTCTTGCCCCTCACAGGCCAAAACTTTTGTCGTGACTTTCATATCGCTGACTATACACGCAAGTTAGGACTGTCACGTACACAGGATACACAAGAGGCACACCAAAAAATGTTTGGCTATGTCATCCCAATCTCAAATATCCTATAAGAAAGCCTTAATTTTGCCGGTGAATAAAGGAGGTGGGACAATTTTCAAAATACACAGCTTGCCTATGCATCAGTAAAAAAAATATGAGCCAATTTTAGCCCTGGGGAAAAGAGCCACAACTCCACTGAAATAACTGAAAGTACATCTGTTTTTTCCAGGGCTGAAGTGGACCTTAGCAGTAAAGGGCCCTTTACCTGTCTTGCTCATTGCTTCCAGTTGGTGCTCCCCCACAGTGAACAGCTGAAACACTCGTTGCTATAATACAAGCAGCAAACAGCTAAAGGAAATCTCAATATGCTTACTGAAAATACTTTGTTTCCCTTTTTTCATTCACTTGCTTTCCCAAGGTAAGTTTTTGGAGAAGGGCCGTCAGAAAGGATTGAGGCATTTTCCTTTGTCACGACTTCAGACATCCCATTAATAGACCGACGTAATCTCCTAAACCAAATTAGCTTCTGAAATATCTTGCACGCAATCCCCCCTCCCCGACCCCCACTCTTTCTTGAGACTTTAGGTTCTCTAGCATTTGTGCAGTTTAAGCCTGTTACGGTAATTTTGTCCAGCATTTTCTTAGCACCTCAACACAAATTATGTTGTAGCTTGTCTGTGATGCGCATTGGCTATGGACAACCACAAAGAGGGGAAGCGCCCACCAGTTTTAAAAGAACAGCAATATCACCCCGTTACATTGAGAAGCTCTTCTCCATAGGCTGGTTCCCAAGTTGGACTACGGAAGCTAAACAGGATTTGTCTCAAAGTAGGGTTACTCCAGTTATTCGAACATAGTAAACACAAGAGGGCAGTACTGAGGACATCAATCCTGCACTTGATCTCATTTTCAGTCCGTTTTCTAATAGCCTGTTAATGGAGATATGGCTCAGTGTCAAGGCTAAGAGGGCACACGTTACTTAAGCTAAAGCAGTTATGGGGAACTAACACAATCCTTACTTATTGTATAACTGTACTCCTTGGATTTAAGCCAGCCATATACATTTCATCCTACCAATTTACCTATCCTGCTTAATCTCAAGTATCTTCATCCTTTCACACTTAATTAACTATCAATTATTTTCCTGAGTGAGATTATAAAAAGTTAAACCCTTCTACCAAAAGTACAAAGACAAATAAAATATAGTAGAACAATACAAACCCAGTTATACAGCATTACAAGTGCAGAAATTCTTCATGTTGTTGCTCTTCTTTATCATTGGCCCCCAGTAAAAACCCTAACAAAGAATTTAGTTATCCAAAATATTTTGAAGTACTGTGATTAAATTCTTCAGACCATAAATGTAGCCCTCATCCCTCGTGTTGCTAGGAAACACGTGAGCGAAATCTATCATTCGGACTTCCACATTTGCACTTTCCTTGATCTCTGCTGGCACGTGACAGAAAACTTTTTCCAGTTGGGGTATAACATTTCCATTTAGATGCTCGTGGGTAATGCAAGTGCTGCTTTTCCACATGTTGTCTTGCTCCAAGTTTTCAACTTTGAGCGAGAGCTGACCGTGGTGCCTCTTCGAGCATGCCTTTTTGTGAAGTGCATAAAATTTGGACAAGCCTTTACTTACAGAGGCCTCTATTTTTCCATTCTCTGTAGAATTTATTACGTGAATATTATTATTATACTCCAGTATGTCTCCTCCTGACAACAGTCCTTTGGGCATTACTCTCTTCTCTGCCAAAGTGACATCGCTCAACCGCACGGTAGTTGCCTGACACGAACCTTCATAAACAAACAGCAACGAGCTAGCGTAGAAGTTGAGTTGCTCCTGGCCCTCAAACCACTCCAGGATCTTTTCAACCCTCCGAATGCTGGCAGCGACAGCATCTTTTCTCAAGCAGTACCCGTTGTGAAAAAACTTTGAGATGCCTACAAGAAAGAAATGGATGTTTTCAGGATTATTTTGAGGGGGGAAAAAAAAAAAATCATGAAAATGTTTTCATTTCTTTTGGGACTAGATTTGTTCTTGAATTGAAGAAAAACCAAATATTCACAGTTTCATTTTAAACACTTACTTAATAACTCAGAACCAGATCGAGGAATTCAAATACCTTCAGTCGCCTTACTATGAAAGGACTGCTATGCAATATTACAGATTGAGCTCTGATTGTAAATAAAAGTTAGTGAAAACTAGACGAACACAGTTTCTGCTCCCCACTTCATCCTATCAAGCATCTGAACAGTTTCTGGCAGGGACCAGCTGAATTTTCCAGGGATAAACAGGCTCAAGCAGTCCCTGGCTTCTTCATCATGAGTGACAGAGGTGACAAGTTAGTGCCAGCTCTGGAGAAGGGTGGCCATGGGTGTACTCATGTCTGTCTGCACGTCCTGGGGTGGGGAAGGGATGAACAGATGTCCACTAATAACCGTTTTGAAAGAGTTATCAAACTGCCAGATGGCTTTGTTTGTTTGTTTTAAACAGGGTACTGGCCTGACGCTGCTTTGAACACACCAGTTTAAAGTAAATCACCCCACTCATTCTTTCCGGGTTGTTTCAGGAAAATGTTTTTATTTTATTATTAACACACCACAAGGTATGGATAGACTTCAGCTGAGAAGGTCAGTTTAAGTGACAAACATTTACAGCAGCCTTATAATATAAAAGACAGTATATATTCACATACAGCTTCTGGAGAAAAATATACAAGTCAAAAATATTGATTGAATAGCTCTAAAAGGCTTTTATTTCATTATAGTATCATACCTACAAAGAAAACAAGTCATACCAGAATATTTACTACCTACCCATTTATTAGCAGGAAAAGGCAATGAGGAAATTCCTACACAGGCAGCTGCAATTTTATTTTATTTATTTTATTTTTTTTTTTTTATGATCAACAGGTAGCTCAAATAATACAGGAAACAGTTGCAGAATCACCTTGCACAAGGACAGAAAGGTCAGGAACATATAAAGAATTTGCAGCTCTTTCCATGTAATACTCTATATTAAAACACAAACAAAGAAACCTAACTTAAGAGCACTAAACTCGCACACAAATTTCCTTACCATCTTTTACTGTTTCCTTCGTCAAGCTCCTTCCATAGTGCTGGTTTTGGGTCTCATAGCTGTCAGTACAGACGTGGTAAACCTGCAAGAAGCACAAGGAAACTCCGCACTTATTTACGGCAATCAATATTTCCCCAGAGCTCGGAGATATGTTGCAGACAGGCTACAAAATCTTTGCTACTCTCTCTCCCGCGGACTCAGGGGTACGCATTATTTCGAGGTCAACACTGCCCTCTAGTGCTCTCGTCTGCCAACTACTGCTATTTGGCAGCCTGGGATTTAACCAAGTACAACTTACCGCAGTTTTCTCATCGGAAAGATACCCTTATAGTGGTTAAAAATCACCATCCCAGTTACTGCAAGCCTTTTCTGTAGCACGCAACGCTGACTTGCAAGGCCAGACTTGAAGCTAGCACACTCCTATCAATATCACTGTGTTTATCAAATCATTAAAACTTAACAAGCTCATTAAACTCCATTTTCATTATTGTATAGTTCTTCGCGCTGCGGAAGTGTTTAACAAAACTGCACAGCAATAAGAAGTGTTATTATTTGACCAGAAAGGCCCAGCTATCTGAGACTCTCCCATCGGCAACTGGTGCATAAAGGTGCATAGTTTGAGTGGCACAAAACCACACACACCCCACACAAGCCGCTGCTCCTGACTTCCACTGCTGGGTTCCCCCCCTCCCAGGCACAGCAAGACGACCAGCTGGTCAGAGAGACCGTTCCCACTGGTGTGCTTACTACGTCCACTGTTATGACAGCTATGGAAATTGAGGCCCAGGGACCTGCAGTCAGAGAAGCCTAGGCCGTAGGGGAGTTATCTTAAAACAGCATCTCAGAAGCGTGGTTGTGGATTCACTAAAACAATCCTTTTTCACCACTTCTAAAAAAAGTACATAAGCATAAAACAGTAGATAATGTAGGAACCCAAAAGAATACTTATTCAAATACTTCATGTAGCAAGCCATTCACAGGGTTTTCTTTCCTCCCCTTTTTTTTTTAAACTTATCAAAAAAAACCTACAAGCCTATATCTAAAGAACTACAAGCCACCAGTAATTAGAATAAGAATCAGAAACGCATATATTTCTTTGAAACAGGATTACAAGCCTGGAGACTGCCTCAGTTTTTACTAGCTGCACCTTCACTATAACATCAAGCTCTCCAGTTTAGTCAGTCAGTTTGGGGGCAGCTCCCTCCGTGTCTCTGCAACACTGCACGCTCCTGAACACGTAATCTTGTTTACCAGAACCTTATCTCTTCCCCCTAGGAGCTCACAGGTTTTGCGATATGGGCACTTGCTCAAGAAAAGCTCGTTAAGGCCTGCAAGCTCGTTTCGTTTGCCAAAGAAACTCTGGAGCAACATCTCGGCACCCTGTGCTTCTGGCTCGCGCTTCCCCCGAAGCCGCTATACTGTAGTTCTTCAGTCCTCGTTCAAGCAGGTTTTACTAACAAGGCGCATTTTTCTGCCACAGACACCACTCTGGGTCTTTGCGGCATCTCAGCTCATTTTTTTGCACAAAACCATCCCACAAAAAAGGTGCTCTATAAGCTTAGAAACACACAGGCAGGCACGCGTTTTACGTTACATTTATAGCACATTTTTAACTATGCAAAATGGTCAATAATCAATTACGAAATCCTATACACATACTGACACTGTAATATATATTTAACTATCTTGCCAACAAGCAAACACTCAGAATATCCTAGGTTACAAAAGGGTATGCGTGCAATCCTTTTTTTTAAGGCAGCATTATTAAAAAGACACTATTGTTCAACTCACATAGGTAATCACGAAAGTATTCTCCACCTAGCCAAACAGCCGTCTCCTAAGTCTGCTTAAAGCCCTTTCATTCGAAAGGCCGTGACGGTTTGAAACATTTTTGGAAAATCTCAACCCAATACAAATACATTAAGCCTCCTACTGAAAGCAGAGGAGCAGAGACCCAAGTTCAGAGAGGACCAACTTTTCACCAGTTCTCCCTCGAGCTCCACCTACCCCAGCAAAACAAAGGAAACGCCACGTTGCAACAGCGAGACCAGAACTGGCTTCCTAGCGCGCAGGCTTCTTGCTTGACCATGCTTTTGTTCACTCAGGTGCTGCTAACCCGCCACTAACCTTTCCCCAAGAGAGTCTCCTTTGAGGGAGACGACTTCTGTACCCCAGCTGTTGCAACCGTCTGTACTTGCCCATTGCTGTCAAAAATGACAACAAGTCAAATAAGTTAAATCTTCCAAGCTTCTTAACAACTGTCAAGAAATTATTAGACAGGAAAATTTCACGTCTTGTCCACCTGCCACAGCTCATTAGACTTTTGTCCTCCCATCTTCAGAGTTTCACGCTCCCATGCGGGATAAAGAAAACTCCTCATACTATCTGCAAAACATCACCTTCGAGAAAACCTCTTAGCTGGTGACGTTTATACATTCATACTACACAAGATCAGTCCCCATTCAGTGAGGTTTCTGCAAACAGAACTGGAATCCAGGGTGCTATAATAAACTTGTTAACAGGGTCTCTGTGAGGGCAAGATGTCAAGAAATACAGATAATTAAACTTACAAGGGAAATTATCCTCCAACTTCCTCAACACTCACTCAGCTTTGGCTTCCCCAGAAGGTGTTAGGTTACTGCTGCCTGCCTGTGTACGCATTTTTGTACCATTTCTTAAACAGCGTCAGCTCATTTGACATTCTTCAGCTGAGGGAGGCCTTAAAGAAAAAAAAGAAAAAAGAAAAAAAAAAAAGGACAAGCCTCACAAGATCACAAAACCGAGACACACAGTTTGCAAAACTCGAAGCTGCAGCTTAAGGACATCAAGTTGAAGCCCGGATGCAGAAACGCGAAACTTCAAGCGTTATGTAACGTCACTCACAGCAATTCGGTATCGACTTTCAGGGCAAGGCAGAAAAACGCACAAGACTGTTCTAATGCTTACCTATGGCAACTCCCTAGTCTTCTCGGGTGTAAAATTTACATATATAGTAACTGTATAATTTAAATAGATACTAACTAAGACTAGTCTGTGTGGTGGAGATACTGTCATCACAAAACATCTCCATTAAATAATTTTTAGACCTCCCGACCATCTGTTTCAGAAAAAAACAACTAATTTAGACTGGGGGAAAAAAAAAAAAATATATATCTATATATGTATTCAGAACTGGTTTGAACAGTGGCTCCACGCAGTAGCTTCAACGCGGAG